AATTGACATTTTATTTCCAAACAGTGTCTATAAAACAGTAAAATAAGATCTCTGGATGGCCTCTATAATGACTGTGACAAATAACATTCTGATAAGCAAAACTGCAAGGACTATATTTCTATACTGTGCTATATTTACAGCACAGATAAAATTCATGGAAGTAATGCTGAGGGGATGTTAAAAGTGAGCAAAAGGCTTGCTTGTGTTGGAACCCTTGAAAGCTGGGGAAAGGAGACCGTCTTTATTGTGGAAGACAATAGGAAACCAGTGGTTGGGAAACTTATTTTTGGAAGGTGACTCTTTAGTGATTTGTTTAATGAGTTGGAGCAGGTAACATGAGGATGGGAATACCAGCTGGGAGACTACTGCAAACTTAAGCTGAATAAATTTGGGTACAGTAAAGTGAAAGGAAGGAATAGATATGGTAGACAGTGGAGAGAGAGAACAAAAAGAAATTCATCGTAAGTAGTTGAAAGATGGTAGAACCACAAAGCACAATAGAGAAGACAAGGGTAGAGTAGGTTTTAAAAGGAAAAATGATTCCATTACATAGAAAAATGGCCTATGGTAACAGGAAGAGATAAAGTAGTAATAACAGTTTAGTTTCAGTTTACATATTTATCAAATTAATAATTTTTCTCATGATTTTGTGGCCAAGAGGATATTAAACCAATAAACTCCAGACCATGCATAGCTTTCAAGTGACCTAACTATGGAAATGGTTCTAATTTCTAATACTTAGCAGAGTTATGACAAAATACAGCATCATAGTATCTCTCCTGTCTCTTATCTCTATCTACTTTATCCCTTCTCTTAGTTAAGTTTCTGACTAGTGAGTTTGGAAATTCTAAAATTGTGTACCTTGTGGTTTCCCTTTGTTTTATGGCTTTCAATAATGTTTTGTAAATAAAGGAAAAAGCAAGTGAAGAACCAGCAAGTGAAGAACCAGCAAGTGAAGAAGGGTTTCGCATGGCAAGATTGTCATAGTGTTCAATGTTAAAAAGAACTCTAAAAGGACAAGAATTTAAAGAGATCATGAGATTGGCAATTAGGTGACCACTGAAGATCATCATTAACTGGGATATGATGTTGTAAAAGAAATGTAATTGAAATTTGCTTTATAAAAAAATATGTACTTGTAAGTAAATTAAATCTGGTGATGTTAGTCTTCAAACAGTTTGATCAGGTTTCCAGCTCCATTTCTGTGATTCTTTTCTCTTTGTCCCTACCCCATCCTTTTTGTATTTTGACTTCATCACTAGAGTAGTGTCCCTCACGGTACACAAAGGGACACAACTTCTCCTTCCTCAATCACTAAAGTACAAAGTTTCACTCTGATCCAATCAGCCTGGGTCAGTGCTCACCCGCAGACCAACTACTCCAGCTTAGACAGAGTTACCTATTCCCAGACGCCTGGCTGATAACACAGTGAAGGAGAGAAAAACGTGGCTGCAACAAACAACGGTTTGGGGGAAAGTTGTTCCTCGCTCTTGTAAGAGTTTCTGAATCTCTCACTCACTCACTCACTCCTATAAAGGAAGCATGAGGAATTGGTTACAAAAGAAAGCATCAAAAAATCACAGGAAAATGTCCTTGTCATTGTTAAAGGCAGAACAGACATTAAGTAAAATGGACTTCAAGTCATCTAAGCTGACAAAGTTCCTTATTGCTAAAGCAGTTTACTCACATGTTGCGTCATATGCAGCCAAAAGCAACCTCCCTGAATAGAGAACATAAGAAATTTTTAAGCTTGGAGGCGCCTGTGGCTCAGTGAGTAGGGCACTGGCCCCACATACCAAAGGTGGAGGGTTCAAACCTGGCCTTGGCCAAACTGCAACCAAAAAAAAAAAAGTAGCTGGGCATTGTGGTGGGCACCTGTAGTCCCAGCTACTCAGGAGGCTGAGACAAGAGAATTGCCTAAGCCCAAGAGCTGGAGGTTGCTGTGAGCTATGACGCCATGGGACTCTACCGAGGGTGACAAAGTGAGACTCTTGTCTCTAAAAAAAAAAAAAAAAGAAAGAAAATGTTAAGCTATGAAGAAGGAATCACAAAGACAGAGAAACTAAATATTAGAAAAAAGGGACTGTTAATGAAGTTCCCAGGAGACAAGGAAAAGCTAGCCTCAGAGGTATCAGAATGTTATTTTGAGACAATTTGAGAGAAGGGGCTAAAAATAGAGAATTTTTGAGATAAGAGTCTCACTTTATTGCTCTGGGTAGAGTGCGCTGGCGTCACAGCTCACAGCAAACTCCAACTCTTGGGCTTAGGCGATTCTCTTGCCTCAGCCTCCAGAGTAGCTGGGACTACAGGCGCCCACCATAAACGCCTGGCTATTTCTTTTTTTTTGCCGTTTGGCTGGGGTTGGGGCTGGGTTTGAACCCACCACCCTCGGTATGTGGGGCTGGTGCCCTACTCACTGAGCCACATGTGCTGCCTGATAGAGACATTTTTAAGAGAAAAGGATGTTTAGAGAGGACATGTTGGATTGGCTTTGATCTCAACACAGTAGAAGGCAAACTTCTTCTCAGAGTCAATGAAATTATATAAATGAAGTTATAGATTTAAAGAAAACACAAAATATTGGTAATGCTGTTTCTTTCATTTCTTCCTTCATGTACTTAACAAATAACATTTGCCAGACACTATTGAGCCCTGTGTACACAATATAAAAAAAGATGTAATCCTTTGCTTTCCAGAACCATGCTGTTCAGCCTGGTAGTTCTCAAAGGCAGTCCTCATGACAACTGCTAACCAGCTAGTTACTGAGCAAGCTCTTGGGCCCAAACCCAGAAAATAAACCAGAAACAATGAGCGTGAAGCCTCAATCTATGGTTTCTACAAGCCCAATGCACACTAAGGTTTGAAAACTACCAGTTTCTAGTGGAAGATCAACAGTGACTATTAATAGTTATGAACAAAAAGTAGCAGGAACACAGGGAGTGGAGTGTTAAGGCTTCCAGAGAAAGTAGTACAGAAGTTCTAATTTAAAGAATGAATAGATTATCAATGTGGATGCAAAGTATTTCATGTTCCATATGCCAGCTAATAATACCATTGTACCACTTTTCTTCCCAGTTAATTTGCTTTTTTTTCTTAATGCTAATAGGATTCCAGCACTTTTCCCTGAAATTCTAAGCCCATCTAAATGACAAAAGGAAAAATCTCAAGACAAGGATTAAATGTTCCTTCCTTTCCTATAGCTTCGAAAAGGCAGATATGTACTGCATCATGAAAGTCTTTGCAAATGTTATTTTAAAAAAGGATTCTTGTAAAATGCTTTGTCCTAAAAATGTCTGTAATTTTAATTGTTCTTATATAACATGTACATTGAAATTGGTACTTTCTGCAAGTCAGTTTTCAGCACTTGTTTTTCCCCATACCAGGAAGAACAGAAAAAGGAATAAAATCTGACTCAGCTAAATTTGTCCTTTGAACAGATTTGAGTACGTATCTAACTTAACATGAGGCGAACATGATGGGCAGCAAAAAGAATAACTAGAATAATGTGTATTAGAGAAACTGATTCTGTATTTCTTGAGTAGAAACCTGGAGAAGAAGGCCAAAGAGGATAAATAAATAAGCAGACAGTATGACGTACAATAAAGTTAACATATTCTCTGTAGGTGATAAAGAGCTATCAAAGAAACGTAATGTGAACGAGGAAGCGAATGATTAAGTGTGCATGTAAACGTGGCAAGGAAGGTGGACTGGAGTGAGTTCATCAAAGTATTCGGCAATCACTCACTTCCTTTAAAGAAAAAGGTCCAAACTATGTAACTTGAAACTTTATTTTAAAAATATTCGAAATTTGAGTTTTTCAAAAATGTTAACCACCATCTACTTCCCTTAAACACACATCTATATTTTTCTTAGAATTATAGGCCTTATTGTAGTACAAAACAAAAAACAATCGGTCTACTAACTCAGCCAGCCAATCAAACTACTTCAGTACATAATCATGCTATAGCCTGGAGTCAAACAAAAAATTCCTCTAGTTATCTTTAAAGATATTTATAAAGTTTATTTTTGCAGAAAACTAAAGTGATTCAACAATTCTAACAGTTGTAGCATGCAGCAAACCCTCCTTTAACATCTAATGTTTAATCTTATCATAGATGTATACATTATTTTCATTCCTATAGTTTCCATAAGAAGCTTGCAATGACAATAAAGGTAAACAAGTACAGCTGTCCCTCAGTATTCACAGGGGATTGGTTCCAGGACCTCCGCAAACAACAAAATCCACGGATGCTCAAATCCCTTACATAAAATGGCAGAGTAACTGCATACCAGCTAACACAATTCCTCCTGTAAATGTTAAATTATGTCTAATTTACTTACAAAACCTAATACAACATTAATTCTATGTAAATAGCTGTTATGCTATATTTTCATTTATTGTTTATTGTATTATTTATCCCCCCCAATATTTTTGATTTGCAGGTTAAATCCAAGGAAGCAGGACCTGTGGATACAGAGGGTCAACTGTATTCTGTTACAGGTACTTCAAATAGCACTACAGTACATCTCTGACAAAATTTTTACAATATTCCAACTTTCAATATGAAACAGCTTAAAAAGGCATGGGCCAAAAAAAGTATACTATTACCACTTAAGCAAATAAAAATCTCATAATTGTACAAGCACAACACTGTCAAGATTCTCGTTTAGATTGGAAAAGTATATTTAAGTCATTTTCTCTAAATAAAATTAACTTACATAAATTGCTTAGGAAAATGTCAAAATCCATAATTCCAGACATGGGGAAAATTCTTGAACATTTATTCTTAGAAAATATTAACTAGTTATTCCTTGCTTTTATGTAACAGATGTGTTCTTGGAGAGTTTTGTGTAAAGCAAATTCTGTAAACAATTATCTTACTTATACTAGAGGAACTTATGTCAAGGAAACCTAAAAGAAAAAAAAATTTTTTTTTGAGACAGAGTCTCACTCAGTTGCCCTGGGGTTGAGTGCCATGGCATCACAGCTCACAGCAACCTCAAACTTTTGGGCTCAAGCGATTCTCTTGCCTCAGCCTCCTGAACAGAGAAATTATTCTGTAAAGCATATGATTCTCCTTTGTGTAGCTGGATGTCTCTATCTACTTAAAAAACATAAACATTTGTACATCATTAGGTTTTTTACTCATATTGTCATGTTTCGTCTCTGTAAATTAAACCCCAGTTACTTAAAATTCACTTATAGTAAAATAAACAGATCAAATCCACCTCCCACCCCACCCCCCTTCTCTCAAGACAGTTCTAAGAATATAATGCAAAACTTCATTTATCTACGTTCTCAGTACAGGGCTTTTCACTATACAGTATAGAACCTCCACCGTTGATCACTTCCTTAAGTGGTCTAATTAGTCTAATTTTCATAGACTGGACATGCACCACATGTATGAACCAGGACAGAAGGCCTAGTTCCTTAAGTTGACCACCTCCATATGCTGACTAGTTGGTCACAGTCCCTTGCATGGTCAACTTACAGAGTTTCTGTTGTATTTAAATGCGCTATGATAAATATCCACCTGTTCTTTTCACCTTAGAAACAAAATGACTACTTTCTTTTATTGCTACAAAATATCATTTTAAAAGATTTTACAAACAATAGCAAATACAGGGGACAAATTGTGATTATGAATGTATCTTCCATAGTTCAGAATAAAATATCTCCCAAATTGTGATAATTCTGTCTAGAAGAATGATACCTTTAACACTATAAGCACCTTGTTCCTATACAGGAATGCCTGTATAAAAATTTAATAAGGATCAAAATAACATTCTTTAGCATTAGAGTCTTGCAAAAACATAGAGGAATAAAAACTAAAACTAGACCTAGTCACTGCCATTTTATAAAATTTAGTAGAACAGGCTTAGTTACATTATAGGACCTCTCGAGGCATAATAAGACAGTTTTACTAAAATGTAAAGTTCTTAGGGAGATGCAGATCTGTATGAGTCTCAAGTCTATGACTACTGCTGTCAATCATTAACAAGGAAATAGATGAATGCACTTATTCCTCTGAAAAGATAAAACTGTATACATATTATCAAAAAGACTATGGCACTTGGAAAATATTCCTAGTAAGCAAGTATGGTAAATGTGTTTGGATGCATCCTAGCCTCTCTTTTAAGTTCTTTTGAGAAATACAACTGCAGCCTGGGTAATAAAAGAATCTTCATCACCTGAGAAAAAAGAGGTGACGTTACCACATAGTTCTAAGAATAAACAGCTTTGAAGAGACTGATGAAAATAATGCTATAATTTTCTCATCCATTTTTTACTTTTATTCCCTCTACAGTTTTTTAAACTTATAAGAAAAAAAATTTGCAATGCAATTTGAGCTGTAGGCAGACATAATTATGCTTTCATGTGAAAGGTAAAATAAATGAAACAGTGGGGCTACTTGCTGCAACTAAAAGCCAATTTTAGCCTCTCAGTCTTTTGAGTATACCTCAAAAAGCTAAAAAGCAAAATGAGATAGCAAGTCTTAAGAAATAATTTCTTTAAAAAATGAACGAGGCTGAATTATTATATAACCCCATGGATTTTTAACTTTTAAAGTACCAAAAACATGTTTATAATATTAACTAAAATAAATGCTTATCTCATGGCATCAAAATTATGCTCTTCCTCCTAAAAATTAACTTGGCTGCTCCTAAAACATTAATTTTCTATGTATTTTACCTCCTCACTATGCAGGACAAGCAATTGCCTATTAAATCAATCTACTGCAGGCCTTTTGATAGAATACACTTTAAATACAGGCTTGAAGATCATCAGAGACAACACATTAGTGGTTGTTTCAGTTATACAACAGAATCTAAGACCACTTTCTTTTGTGGTCGTTCTTTAAAGTGAGTAAGTTGATGTCTCTTCCAGTGAGGAGCCTGTCTGAATGTTTTGCCACAAACTGAACATTCAAATGGTTTCTGACCTGCATGAATTAGATAGTGTCTTTCCAGTTTAGATGGGGATCGGAAACTTTTAGAACAAACACTGCAATAGTAAAGGAGGCCATCCTCAGTTCTCTCCTGATGCCCTGCATAACTGTAACAATGATGGCCCTGCTCTGAATGACAGGGCTGCCTACAGTGGGTACCAAGAACGAAACCCTCTGATTCTGCTTTAACGCCTCCTTCTGATGTTTGATCTGTCTCTGAGACCTGATGAGAAGCATTACAGTTAACATCACACGTATGAATGCAAAGTTTGTTCATATTTGCAAATTCTGATTGGAAAAGAGATCTATAAGGATTCTTTTCAACATGAGTTTGTGTATGTCTTTTTAAGTGAGCTGCCTGTCTAAAAGACTTCCCACAAACATTACAGCCAAAAGGCCTTTGTCCAGTATGAATTAAATAGTGTCTTTGTAGTTTGGATACAGAAGGAAATACTTTATCACATTTGTCACAAGGACATATCTTATGTCCAGTATGTATGTTTTCACTTGGAACTGAGAACCCACACTGAAGTACCTCACAGTTACTAAAGAATTCCTCACCTGGTGAACCACAGCTTGGTAAGTCCTTATTATTTACTGAATTATCCATGGTTATTATGTTTTCTGTTGTAAGAATACCTTTTAAATTTTTTCCCATACTTTGGCTCTGGAATTGCCTTTGCCAAGAAAATGGCAATGTCAATGCTTTCTTCTTTTTATTGCCAACTGTCTTATATGTTCCATTTTTCCCAAGAGAGCCCATAAATGTCCTTTGGGCTTGTTCAGAGTTCTGCTCACCAGAAAGATCACGATTTTTCAAGAAATTGTTTTTAAATACTTTCTTCTCAGATTGAAATTTATCTAATTTTTTACCTCTAGCTCGTTTAAGCTTGTCCAGGATTTTTTTAAGAATGGTTTTATAGCTGTAGCTTCTTTTCAGTCTTTTTGGAATTTTGCCACCTCTGGCAGAAGGAAAACACTTGTGCTCATTGAGAATCTGCTCTGATTCAAAACACTCTTCACACTCTGGACATTGAAAAGGAACAATATAAATAGAGTGGACATCAAGTGGATTGTTCTCCTCAGATTCATCCATATTGCCATTTTCAAAACCATCTTGATTTGAATTTAATTTATTAGGCAGGGGGCATGATTCTGGACTCTTCACCTTTAATGAGAGAGTCTGAAAAGTCTTACTCCTTGTATGGATTTGTTTATGCTTCAGAAGTTTGCTTTGAATCTTAAATCCTTTTTGACAAAAACAACATTGAAAAGGTCTTTCTTCTGAATGTGTGAGTTGATGGATTTTTAAATGTGTTGACTGTCGGAAAGATTTACTACACAGGACACATTTAAAAGGCCTCTGACCAGTATGAGTAAGTATATGCCTATCAAGTTTTGACTGTGATGGAAACATCTTGCTACAGAGCGTACATGCATGAATACTCTTTCCTCTCTTCGTAGTGCTATACGTGGGATCAGACTTAGAGCATGGGTGTAATGCCCATCTCTCCTCTGTGGCAAAAGTATTATATGCTCCATACACTGCTTTTTCTTGCTTGGGCTCCAGCAATCTTCGTGTCTGCTTAACATCATTCTGATAGGGTTCATTGTGAAGTTGTTGATGCTTCACAAATGGCTTCAAATTCTTAAAATGGCGCTGACAAACATTACATTTAAAAGGCATATTGTGAGTTAGCTGATGTCTGTCCAGATGAACTAGCTGTCTAAAGGTTTTATGACACAGATCACATTCAAATGGCTTTTGACCAGTATGAATGAGATAATGCCTCGCTAATTTTGATGGTGTTTCAAAGTGCTTGAAGCAAATATTGCAAATATACGGCCTGTTTCTGGGTAGTTTGTTGGCTCCTACACACCGTTGTATCTTTAGCCTATCAAAATTGCTTTCAGCCATCATATTCTTCAGTGATATACTCTGATGGGTTCCATGGTGCTCTTATACTCCACAGATGTCTAAAAATTAAAAATAAAAATGAATTAATTTTAAAATTCTTTATTCACATCAAAAGAAATAAATTGTCATTTGGATAAAGATCTTCAGAGTAAAGGAGACTCTGAACTTTTCCTATTTTTCCTGTTTACCAATAACTTAATCATTTAAGAAGAATACTTTAGAATCATAAAACTTCACTCATATACAGATGAGTCTTTAAAAGGATTATTTAATCATTTATATAATTTTTAAGCTATTTTCTGAGATGGATGCTACATTGAAAAGATGGAGTTGAATTTCTTTTCTTTTTTTTTTTGGAGACAGAGTCTCACTTTGTTGCCCTCAGTAGAGTGCTGTGGCATCACAGCTCACAACAATCTCCAGCTCTTGATCTTAGGCAATTCTTTTGCCTCAGCCTCCAGAGTAGCTGGGACTGCAGGTGCTCGCCACAACACCCAGCTATTTTTTTGTTGCGGTTTGGCTGAGACCCAGTTCACACCTGCCACCCTCAGTATGGGGCTGGCACCCTACTCACTGAGCCAT